GTCAGAAGATTTATTAACATTTTATTTAATAAATAAAACTCTAAACTAATCCAGGGAAATGTTCCCTTCTCACTAGCAGGAAGTCAAGCAGCTGATTTGTCTCCGTCTCTTGGACGGAGGGCAGATTCCACATCAGACGACGCACTTTTAGTTTTCTTCAGGTGGTCCCGATCGCTGACCACTCTGCTGGTTTTTAGGACAACATCTGAACAGAAAAGCTCTTTACTCAGAAGCCTCGACGTCCCCCGAGGAGCTCTGAGTGCTCTCAGTGATTGCACTCCTCCGATGGCTTTCTATGCTTTCACTTATTTCCCTCCGACTCAAGATGGCCGCCGCAGCTAACTAACTTTAGCTAACAAGGAAAAGAACTACAACTCAGTAAGTTTTCTACAGAAGAAGCTGGACTTTGAGCTCTAACGGACCACGCAAGCTCTTTTATCACATCAGCTCAAATATGACATCATTTAGAGTCAAACTCAAGGCGTGCGGGCCAAATCTGGACCTCGTTAACATTTCATTTGGCCCCAAAGGTAATAATTTAAATTAAAAAAAAACATCTTTTTGTCACTAAATTTAGAGCCTGTTTCTCATGATCAACTCTCAAACCAAAAACTTAAAGTTAGAGTTTTCAGTAATCTTTCATTTGATGTGGAACAGAGAACTGACTTCAAAAACATTTTCTTCTTATTTTAAAGAGAAGTTTTGTTGTTTTAACTAATTTGTACGATTGTGATGAAATATCTCTCTGAAAAAAACTAGATACCACATGGTGGTAGCATATATGACCCCCACATGGACGTGAGGCACCAATGAACCAGAAGTCACCAGAATGGATTTATTTGTTTTGGGTGGGGGTCCGGTGGTGGTGGGAGATGCTCATTGGTGGGCCCAATGGATAGCCCCTCATCAGAGCTAAAAAAAAAAAATAAAAAATCTGAAGCTCGTATGTTGAACAGTTTTTGAGTTATAAGCATTTTTGTTAGTCCAGACACCCCCTTTTCCAAATTTCATCTTTTTTTTTCTTTATTTGTTTGTACATAATTTGGAAAATGTGATAATTTTTCTCTAAGAATAATTTGGTAAATATCAGAACTGTTTTCAATTAGTTGTTTGAATTTTAAAAGGCATTTCTTCTGTTGCGTCTCCTCAGTCACTGTGTTTTTATGGCCCTTGCGGTGTCATCGTTAATATATCACCATTGCACCGATGGTGTGATGAAAACAACCCCCACCTCCCTGCTCTCTCCTCCTCTCTCTCTCCTCCCCCTCACTCAATCAGCACTCCTCCCTCCGTCCTCACCTGTCGGTCTGTTTGCTTACGATGCGTCCGGACAACGGACCACCTGAAGTAAAAAACAGTCTGGGAAAGATCAGGCGTCCTTGAAACAAGCGCCTCAAAACGCTGCAGTGGAGCCGTTTAGATGCCAAAACTAACGAGCTCGCTGATCGGAGACGTTTACTTTGTGAAGCTTAAACAAATTTGTTGAGCAGAATGAAAAGAGAATCAAGTTTTTATAAGGCTCAGACGTCCCGTCAGCTCTGAATACTTTGAGTTTTATTATAGTTTTCAATACAAACAGCAGACTTCTGCTAATTCTCCCCTTTAAGGTCACTTCATTGACTTTAATGAAACTGGACCGAGGGACAAAACAAACATACAGCTGTTAATTACTCATAACTAATAAATACTTGTTTTTAAATCTAGTTTTTATGGTGAAGAGTTGATCATATTTGGGTTAAATCTCTTTAAAGTCTAGATTCTTAGAAAGACAAAGTCTCTTCCTCTTCTTCTCTCAGCTGTGACGTCACTCAGGACACGTTTTAAACACCGAGTCACTTTGAATCACTTCACCTCCACAGAGTGAAACATCTGGAGCCGAGAGCAGCAGCTGGACGAGACGTTCTGACAAAACTCACTTCACAACACAACAACGCAACAGCTGAGGGGCTCAAATTCCCCCGAAACACTGTCCAACGTGCAGGGAACAAACAAATCTGTGATAAATCTGAGTTATTCTGCACTAAACTGCTTTATATAAAAAAACAACTGCAGACGTTTAGACCTCTGATTAATTATTGTTAGATAATTGGAAACCATGATTACCTCCAGTTTAGACTCAAACAGAAAATAAACCTCCCATAACATAAAAATATCGTTTCAGCAGTCTGTCTCTAAAACAGCTACAGGTCGCGAAACATCAAATCTTGACATGAAGTCAGAAAAATAAAGTATATACTTCCTAAATTTGTTCCAAGAAACTAAACAAGTAACTACAGAAAATGCATTTTCTGTGAGAATACAGCTGAGCAGCTGAATGATAGCTAACACTGGCTGAAGAAGCCAAAACTGAGTTAAAGCTAAAAGAAAAAGAGTAATAGCTACAAGCTAAAACTAACAAAATACCAGAGGTAGTAAACTAGCTCAAAGCTTTTTTAAGCCAAAAGGAACAAAATGCTAAAAGCTAAAGTTTTAAAAGGGTTGACAGAAGCTAAATGTAGCAAAAGGTTCGCTCAAATATAGCTACATAGCAAATGGCTGTTAAAAGATAAAATAAGAAAAAGGCTAGCTAAAAACCAACTGTAACAAAAGGCCAGATGGAAAATAAAAGTTGTAAAATAATAGATAAAGGCATAAAGCAGCAAAAGGCTAGCTAAAATATTTAAAAGGTAAACTAAGAGCTAAGCTAAAATAAAAATAGAAAACGCTTTTAAAGTTTAAAAAAGAAAAAGACTGTCACAAAATAGCAGTTAGCTAAAAGCTAAATGTACTAAAAAAACTAGCTGAAAAATAAAAGTAGAGAAATAAAAGTTAAAATTATAAAGAGCTAGTGAAAAAAACTAAATGTATTAAAGGGCTAGCAAGAATATAAAAGTAGCAGAAAGGAAGCTAATGGCTAAAGTAGCAAAAACATTGCTATAGACTGAAAGTAGCAAAGAGCTAAAAACTACATGTATCAAAAGGCTAACAAGACAATAAAAGTAGCAGAAGGGAAGTTAATAGCAAAAAGATAGCTATAAACAAAAGTAGTAAAAACCTAGCTAAAAACTAAATGTATCAAAAGTCTAGCTGAAGATAAAAGTAGCAGAAGAGAAGCTAATGGCTAAAGTAGCAAATAGGTAGCTAAAAGCTATGTATCAAGTCTAGCAAGAAGATTAAAGTGGCAGGAGGGAAGCTAACAGCTAAAGTCAGAAAAAGATAGCTATAAGCTAAAATTAGCAAACAGCTAGCTTAAAAGCTAAATGTAAAAACAAGGTAAACTGAAGATAAAAATAACAGAACGGTAGCTAAAGGCTAAAAGTTTCATAAAAAGACTAGCTAATTTTAAAGAGAACATTTTATTTTTATGAGGAAATATTAGCAAATAAAGTTAAATCTGTTAATATGACGGCGATAAAGCAAAGCATTTGTACTCTCATATAAATTCAGTTTCATTTTTATTTATTAGACCTTCTAGTTTAAACAGGTTTGTTTTTGCAGGCCTGCTGAATTCATTTAAAATGTTTAATCCAATAGTTTACCATGAGTATTTTAAAAACAATGATATGATTATGATGCTGCAGGACAGAGAATCTACCTATAATGAATATTTTCTCAGGTGAGGTGGGTTTAGAACTTGTCAGAAGTTCTGCTGCTCTTTGCATGAGGCACAGTTTTTAAAATAAATCAACATATTATGTTTTAAAGGCCATAAACTGAGCTGCTAAAAGCTGCAGCAACTTGGCAAAGTCCCCTCTGCACCAGGCCATAGCTGCTTCTAAAAAATTATATATATATTTTTTCTAGAAATAAAGGAGGACCGAGCTGAGCAAGGCGGCACCTGGCTGTTTCCAGGCGGGCATCGTGTACCACATGTGGGGGAAGACATGATGAAACAGCGCGTCCTCTCACCGGAGCACTGCGGTAACCTGCACCCAAATGCAGGCCGGCTTCCCTGCAGAACAGCACGGAGGGAAAACATGCACCTCCACTCCTCGGTCTGAGCCAAGAGGATGACAAAACAAAACAGAACGACACAATCACCACAGGTCGTACCTTCAGGGTCCAAAACCCAGATCCCTTTTCGGATGTATCCTCCTTTGAGACGCAGCCGGTTTGGATCGATGAGCAGAGCAGTTATCAATGGAGGAGACTTGCTCCAGCAGCGTGGTCCTCTCTTGATTAAGTCCGTGTTTCTACACGTTTATCTGGGTGATAACAAAAGCGGGCTGCGGGGTGTGAAGTAATAATGTGGGGATAAAGGGTCCTCCTTCTGGGGCTGCAGCGGGAACCCTCCGGCCGGGAGGTGTGGAGGTCGGTGCTGAGGCTGCGAGCCGGCGGAGGACGATGATGATATCCATAGAGGTCCTCGTTTCCACCTGACACAACCTCTCCCTCTCCTCTCCCTCCTCCTCCTCCTCCTCTCCGCTGGTGATGCTGGAGAGAAATATCAGCATCGGTGCGGCGAGCAGAGAGAAAACTGCCAATGAGAAAATGATTCAGACAGCCGCTAGAGGCCGTGATTTACACACAAACGCGATATGGTTCATATTAATCCTTATAAAACAATAAAAAATACAAACATACCGAATCATTAGAATAATTTTCAAATTTGCAAACTGCTTCGTAGCTAGCACTGCACAAAGTTAGCTAAAAATGTTATTAGTTTTCTTCTTTGATTGTAGCGCCCGAATAGCGCCAGCTTCAGTTGTACATACTCTCATCTAGCGGGAGGAACTAGGTACTGCAGGATTTTTTTTAATTAATATGCATTTTATTTTATTTTTTATTGAACAAAAGAGAACATTAACAAAAAAAACAATGACATTCTCATATACAAAAATCAGTAACTTACATTTGTATTTAGAGCACAACTCCTTCAATATCATAAAAACAAGAACATTTTCTTTATTTTATTTTTTAACAAAGCCTAAGAAACCAAAAAATAAAATAAAACAATAAAAAAAACAATTTAAGGGGTTATTAACTGAAATTTCAATTACAATTTTTTTAGCTTTTGCTTTATGCATTTTACTTAGACACATTTCAAACATATATACCCATTTTTAATGCAGCCTTTTTCAATTTGTAAGGCAAGCCGTTGTAACACATAATTAAATAACTGTTTTCAAAAGTAAAACTCGTTACATTTTGAAGTCACTTCGATTCAAAATGGCTTCTATAAATAACCGATGTTATAAAACAAGAAAAATGGCTACAACTGCGGTAAATTTTTAACGTKGCGTTAGCGGAGACGGAGAGCCACGACGGGTTCCTTTAAGAGGAGGAGCCACCGCTGCGGGAGTTTCCGCTCAGGCGTTTCTTTACGTATCCTCTCACTTTTTCCCCCCAGATGAAACACCCCCAGCTGTCACTCTGCAGTGGACACCTTGTAGTTCAGTGTCGGGTCTGACTAAATCAAATATAAAAGCATGTCTGACTCCGTGAAGAACGTCGCCATCTTTGGGGCCACGGGGATGACTGGGCTGGCGACGCTGCCGCTGGCTGTGGCTGCAGGTAAACAGAGTCGGATGTGGATCAGAATAAAGTTCTGGGTTATTTGGGGGTCAGACCAAGCGTTTGGGTGGCTGATTTAATGTCAAATCAGATGTGTAGGAGGATGCAACAGTTGTTTGCAGGAGGGTTCATTTGTAATAAGGCAGCAAAAATGTTTAGTAAGAGTCAAAATATAAACATATCAGGCCTTCATGTGTGCATTAAACCTTCTTTATGTACAAAGTTTATGGCTGCAGAAGGCCTGTGTAATATTTATATAATACTGGATTTTCATTAACTGACTCTGGACATTACTGTGGGAAATGATCTTTAAAAATAAAAACAATGCATAAACTAATTATAACAGCAGGAATATTTTCACTGTAATAATAGTTATGCTCTATTCAGTTATTTGTTTATTTAACAATGTAAATTTACCCAAGAACATCTGGAAAGAAATAAGATAAAACAAGTGTATCTATTTTATTACATTTTTTGGATATTAATTTGATTTTATTTGAGGTATCTCAGTTTTCACCACGTGCTTTTGTATGACAATATAAAAGGGTCATTTTTTTTTCATTTAATCGTATTTAAGCTTCGTGGTTCAGAAGCTTAAAAAATCAGCACCACTGTTTTAGTTCATTCATTATCTGATTTTATTTTTCATGTTTTAATTCATTTTACTGCATTTCAGCTCATCATTTATGTTTATTTTTATTTTTCTAAAAACTCATGCTTTATTTTTATAATTTTTCCTCCATTGTGGCTTTTCTAACATCAGATGAATTTCTCTTGTTTAAAAGAAAAATAAATTTTATTTCTTGCTTTCAAAACCTTTTTTTTGCATAACATGTAGCAGATTTTTTCAGATAAAATCCGATCAATAAATGAGTTGGATCTGATTCATGTTTTTATCTTCATATTTACACCACAATCTGTCATAAAAAAAAGTTTTTTAGAGATGCAAACGAAGGTAAAATCAGACACTGAAACACATCCTGTCATGTGATTATTGTGATTTGTCTGCAGCTTTGCTCAACGCCAGGCAAGGGGGAAAAACAACGAGTCATGTTAGAAGTTACTGTTCAGCATTTTGCTGAGTCATAGCTGTTCATCTGAGAGCTGATAGGAGAAAACCGTTGCGTATCTGAACTGCACATTAAGGGTGGATCCATTTGGTGGGAAAAATAGCGCCGGTTTAAAGAAACTGAAGAAATTTTATTAAAATCAGCAGAAAAAAATACAAGAAAGACAAACAGGATGAGGGTCATCAGAATAAATCTACGCTTTTCCTTCCATATAATCATGACTTTCACAGCTTTAAGCAAAACACAAAGAAATCAGTCTGCTACTTTTAGCTTTTAGCTACCATTCTTCTAGTTTTAGCTATTAGTCTGCTACATTTAGCTATCATTCTAGTCCTTTTATTTTACAGCTCAGTTTCTCCTTGTGTTGTTTTCTCTGGCATTTCGGCTGTTGATCACATTAAAATCGTGCACGTTGTTCCCCGTCAGGCTACAACGTGACGGTGTTGGTGCGGGATCCCGCCAACCTGCCGGCGGACCACAAGGTGTCCCGGGTGGTGGTGGGAGACGTCCTGAACAAAGACGACGTGAAGAAAACTCTGGAGGGACAAGATGCTGTCATCATCATCCTGGGCACCAGGAACGACCTCAGTGAGGCTTTACGACTTTTTCATCATAGAAACCGTGTGCAGGCTCAGTCGTTTTCCTCCACAAACTGTTTTTTATTCCCATTGTGCAAGAGTTTCTGTGATAAAGTTCAGTTTCTGTTCACTTGACCTTTTGTAACAGTGAAATATCACATGACCTCCACTAGAGGGCGCCACACATCAAAGATCCGTGGATCTTCAGGTTCTTGCAGTCGTTTCCTTTTATCGATTCAGAAATGAAGAGTGAGCTTTAAACTGCATGGGATGAACTGAGGATGTAGTTCAGGTGTGTTGAAGCAGGGAAACATGGAAACTATGCAGGAAGGTGGACCCTGAGGACCCGGGACAGGAGGGACATCTGAGGCCTCGTATATCAAAGAGTGTAGCTCTTATACAGACGGTTGGCGTCAGGGGCGTGGCTATGGGTGGGCCTAAATGGGCATAGGCCCATCCACTTTGTACCTGGGCCCACCCAAATCAAATGGCTTTCTTAAATCAAATTAAAAATAATAATAAAGTTCTATGTATAATTTAGGTCTACTTTTGATGGTGTCGCTCAAAGCCATCAGTAAATAAAATAAAAATAAACTAAAATTTAATTAAATTCAAATTAACAACATATATGCATGGTGGTGATTGGTCACTATAATGTCCTTGCAAGACTTGCTGTCATTGGCTATTTTAAATTACATGACTTCAATGCTCCAAACAAGCTAGGGCTAATTGCATGTTTTACAAATATGACCCATTTTTAAACAGTTTAATATTGTCGAAATGTTAAAGAAAATAGTTGAAATAAAGTAAATGCTGTCGTCTTGCCTCGTCCTCTGGATGTATATATTATATATGTATTTATTTTTTTCTCAAGACCGAAAGTGATTTGAGTCACAGTTACAATAATTATGACTGCTGAAGTTTAAAGTGCATGTGACGTGCACATCCTTCAAATACAAAAAGTAAAAAAAAAAACATTTTTATATTTAAGAAACTTGACAGAGTACACATGATTTTATCTATTCTGTCACATAACTGGCATATTTTCCCATGAACTTGGCCCAGCTAGTGTGAAACAGGAAGTGACATCAAAGGGGGAACTTTAAAGAAAAGAAAAGCTCTGGTTTTTGTTTATTGAAAAAATATATTTGAACTTTAACTCTTCTTCATTTCAAAATAGTGTAAAAAACATCAGATTCTTATCTACCGTCTGTGTTAGTCTTGTAGCAAAGCTCTGTTTTTATTCAGACATTCCTCTTTGACATCACTTCCTGTTAGTTCACATGCGAATATCTCAACACCTGTTCATCTCGGCGACGTGAATTATTTTTTGCAATAATTTTTCAATGTTATCAAAAAGAAAAAAATTGTGTAGGTCTTCTGGATGGGTTCTTCTCTAATGAAACGTTTCGTCTCTCCTCCAAGAGACTTCTTCAGTCTGAGAGTTTCAGGCAAAAATTCAGGCTTTTAAGCCCTGCCTCCATGTGACTGATACTCACATCACATGGCTATTGTTGACACCTAATTAACACCTATTGTTAACAGGGGGTGGAGTGATACTGGCAATAGCCGTGCTGTAGGAGGGGGACAACTGAAAACGGAGGCCTCCACCTCTGTTTAATGATGGACAGTCTTTCTTTACAAAAATGGCTTCTTTTACTCCTCTCTCAAACCAACGTTCCTCTCTATCAAGAATGAGAACATCCTCATCTCTGAAAGAGTGACCGCTGGCCTGTAAATGAGTGAAAACTGCAGAGTTCTGGCCATTAGATGTAGCTCGTCTGTGTTGGGACATTCTTTTGAACAGTGGCTGCTTTGTTTCCCCGATGTATAACTGGTCGCAGTCCTCCTGGCACTTAACAGCATATACAACATTGCTCTGTTTGTGCCGGGGCACCGGATCTTTGGGGTGAACCAGCCTTTGCCGTAATGTGTTTTGGGGTTTGAAAGCTACTGGGACATCATGTTTAGAAAATAAACGTCACAGTTTCTCCGAAACACCCGCAACATACGGAATAACCACTGGTTTGGCTCTGGGTCCTAATTAACACAATAATCGTGTTAATTATTGTGTCAACAATAGCCATGTGATGTGAGTATCAGTCACATGGAGGCAGTGCTTAAAAGCCTGAATTTAGCCTGAAACTCTCAGACTGAAGAAGTCTCTTGGAGGAGAGACGAAACGTTTCATTAGAGAAGAACCCGTCCAGAAGACCTACACAATTTTTTTCTTTTTGATTTTTTACCTGGATTACTGAGATGCATCAGGACATTTTCAATGTTATCTTTCCAAAAATGCATTCACGTTTATTACAAAAATTTGTTGTCACAGGCACTTTAAAGTTCTGATTGTTACCTTAACATAGAGACTAAGCTTTTGATTTTACTGCAAAGGGTTCAAGAAGAGCATTTAATTTAATTTAGGTTTGCCTTTAAGGTGTTTTAATGAACTTTAGTCTTTACGGTTTGTGTGGAAATGCTGTGTAATTGTCTAAAATCGAATGTTTTCTGTGCTCATCAGGTCCAACCACTGTGATGTCTGAGGGCACGAAGAACATCATAGAAGCCATGAAGGCACGAGGAATCCGCAAAGTGATCGGCTGCATGTCAGGTAGAGCTGATAAAGACGATCAATATTGTTTTTCTGGTACTGTGCTGTACAGGCTGTGATAAAATATTCAGGGAACCGTAAAGTTCAAACGTTTAAACTCCGACCTGAACTTCAGTCCTTCAACAACACTCAGAGGGAAAAAAAGTATTTTAGATGTCTATATTTCAATTTTTAAATGTAGTTTAAGGTTTAACTTATATGAGAAAGTAGGAAACAGGTGAATGTGAAGCTTTTTAAAATCCGTTATCGGCTCATCTCTTCCTCGCAGTTTTCCTCCTGTGGGATCGAGCCAAAGTGCCGCCCCGCATGCTTCCTGTCACCGAGGACCACGACAGGATGTACACGCTGCTGAAGACCTCGGGACTGGACTACGTGGCCGTCATGCCTCCTCACATCGCTGGTCAGGACTGAAATTCTTACCAGTTTTTAACAATATTGTATAAATTGAACAGAAACGTTCGACTCTGCCTTGATGTTTGTAACTTTTTGAGTTATTTAATGTGATTTATTTTATTTTTTCATATAAATGCATTGAGATCTTTTTATGCTCTTTGAACTCTTCAGCATACTTTAATTTTTTTATAGCTACTCTTTTGTTGATTTTAGGTTTTAGCTGCTGTTTTGTAGATATTTGGCTTTTGCCTTCTGCTTTACTAAATTTAGTGTTTAAACTAGGTTTTAGCTACTAGCTACTACTTTGCCATTTTTTTTTAATTTGTGGTTCTGCTAAGTTCATCTTTAAGCTCCTGTTTGGTTAATGTTAGCTTTTAGCGACTGTTCTGTTGCATTTAGCATTTGGCTTGTTCTGTGCTGATTTTAGCTGCTACTTAATGCTTTGCTTTTACCCGATGTACTGCTAGTTTTAGCTTTCAGCTACTGCTATGGCAATTTTTTTTTGCTGTTGGGTACTAAGGTGGTATTTTTAATTTAAATTCAAATTTTTATCTGTAAAAGATTCAACTGTTTTGACTTTAATGATCGTGGTTCAGCTCTGTGATTACAATGATGTTTTGTAGGGTTTTTTGTGTGTGTTTTGAAAAATAACTTTTTGTTTGTTGTGTCGTTGTTCTCTGCAGGCGACCTTCCTCTGACTGAGAGTTACATGGTGTCAGAGACAATGCAGCGAGGAAGAGCCATCTCCAAACACGACCTGGGACATTTCTTCGTCAAATGTCTGTCCACCTCCGAGTGGGACGGCAAGACAGTGGGAGTTTGGGGAGAATACAAATAATCTAAAAACACACAACAGAAGCTCTGATCAAATACCTTACTGAGATATAAATGCCATTTTTACATTTTCTCCAAAATACATAAAAAAGAGAATTTGACATTTAAAATTTATACGTGTGTAAATTCAAAGAATCATTCTTGTTTTGGATTTATCCAATCTTTTTATTATCTGCTGCTCATTTAAGACCTTTTTAATAAAACGTACTAATCATTTGCATTGCTGTTTACATAATTTTACAAAGGTTGCGTGTTTTAAAAAAAGCATTTAATGTAAGTTGTGTTAATTTCACAAGTTGCAAACTGTTTTTTTTTTAACATTTTTAGTTTTACTTTTGCTTTTAAACACTACACACACACACACACACACACACACACACACACACACACACACACACACACACACACACACACACACACACACACACACACACACACACACACATACTTTCAGGCTTTTAGTTTTGCTCAAGTGCAGTGGATTATTATTTTTTTTTTGTTACTGTAAACAAAGAAGCGGAAGTCATCCACTCCAGCCTTCAAAATAAAATTTTGAAAAAATACATATGCCTGATAGTTTTGCTAAATTCTCCTGTTGGATATAAGCAAACATTAAAAAATTAATACTATATTGTACACTACACAGTTCAATTTCAGTAAATTTTATCTGCGTGATGTAGACTAACAAATTATACATGAATATTTTTATTTTGAAAATCGGAACAGGAATTTATATTTCGTTAGCTTTATGTTATTTTCCTCTTCCAATGCTCAACTTGAGGAAAACTGGGTGACCTGTGGATGGGTTTGTGAGTCGCTGACATTTTACTGAAACTGAAAGACGAGTTGTAGTTTTAACATCGAAACTATGAACTTCTACATGTCGTGTCGCGGCTGGAGAAGCTGTTCTACCTGACTGTTGTCTTCGAAACTGCCGCTTTTTCCAGGTAATATCTGCTTTTTTCCTGTGATAGTAGTTTAGATGACTGCCCTTAACTTAAAATTGTCCCTGCTGTTCACGTGTACGTGTGAGTGATCATCTGCCCTGTTTGATAGACTTTCTTAATCTTAATCACATTGAAATCGTTCACATTTTTAGGCGCTTTGACTTATTAATGGATTGTTTACTCACTCTACATTTTATTTATTTATTGCCGTAACAGGGTTAAAACATGTTGACTGAACCTCACAAGTTAACGTTTATGTCAGGGTTTTAAACATTCACTTCTAAAAATAAATGCCTTCTTTCAGGTGATGTCATCGTTTAGGAATTGCTAGTGCAAGTTACATAATACTGATTGACGGTGATTAATTAAAATACGTTGTATTAATAATTACATTTTTAATAATGAGTATTTTATTCATAAGTTTTATGGTTGTAGAAAAACGAACAGGAAAAAGTCCTCTAATGGAATGTTGCCTAATTAAACTCCATTACCCACAAGGCTTTGGACACGTAAACGGGAGCAGTGAAACTCGAATCAGGCGCCAGATGCGTTGCCTCACAAAATTTCAACACAAGTATTAATACTTTATTAATATTTATGAAAATATTTACAATTTGTTTTTGTAAGTATAGATGGGTTTTTATGCGTTTTTGGTGTTGAAAGTGAATAGAAAATCCTTTCATGAAATGTTGCCTAATTAAACTTCATTACCCATGATGCCTTTCGATGCGCAGCCTCAAACTGAAACTATTGACGTGAAACTCAAATCACAGGCGGGAGCCAGATGCGTAGCCGTAGAAAGTTTTTACTCCGGTACATTTAAACTTTTTTTTAGCACTTTAAGCCACATTTTAGTCGAGTTTTTATCCTGATCGACTGCGACGTGAAATTTTTAGTCTTTTTGTCGGAAAGGGAAAAGGAAAAACGACACGTTTTTTCGACGTAGAAGCGACGTAACCGAGCGAGAAGAGCCGGGGAGAGATTCACTCACTCAGGTTTGATCCGCTAACTTTTAAAACAAGTAATCTTTTAAAGTCTAGATTAGTTGGGTTAATTAAATTTGACTTTTCGTATTGTTAGCCAAGATATTTCATGTTTCTTTTGGCTCCTTTTACGTTTTTTTTAGCCGTTTAGTTCGAGTTTTTCTTCTTTTTTTCCCTCCTAGTTGAAACTAACGTTACAACCCCCACGTTTAAACCCAGCTCCCCGCCTGCTTCAGCGGTGCTTTTAATAGAAAAAAACTCCTTAAACGACATAATTATTTGTATTGAATAAAACTTTTTTAAATATAATTTAAATGCAAGCCGTCATGATCCCCTTTGATTACTTTCCAGAAAAAAATAATTTAATCTTAAACCTTTTTGTTAATCAGCGTTTTATTCTACATTTTATTCTTATCTATGTATCAGACTTTCTTTTTTAAATGTTTTAAACTGTAAAATTAGAGCAGTTCAAAATGTTTACCCAGTCTCAAAATAATACAAAAAACAAAATCATATCTTTGCAAAGAAAGTCACATCTGTTGGCTGTCTTTTAATGAAAGACCTAATAATTATTAAAGTAATGCCTATCACCTACTGCCTTTTTATAAGATCATATAATAAGAACATTATGAGACTTTTTCTGTAATAATGGGATACCTCTTTTAGCACACAGAGTATGTGTTGATAACTTCCAGCTACTACCACATCACATTTTAGCTCAATATTTGTAAGTATGACTGTTAAAGACATCTGTTTGTGTGCTGGCTGTGGCGGCCATCTTGGTTTGGATTGACACAAAAAATGAAATTGTAGATGTACAATTGATGCTTACTTTCTGTTGGTTTTGTTCAAATCTGACAAGCAGGTCATCAAATGCTTTGCGGACACAACAAATTATCAACAGTTAGCATATATGCTAACTTAATGGCTTTTGGTTTTGTGCCAGATCACTGTACCGGTACCAGAAATGCGATTTCTACTTTCCAACAAGAAAACATTTATAAAACAGCAGTAAAAGCTCATGGGAGTTTTCATAAATTAAAATTTGAGTATTTGTGGTCTTACGAAGTGTGCAAATCTACATGTGTGCTTAAATCTAATGTAAATGTCTCTTGTAGCATATTTTAAGTTTAATTTTAATATAATTCAAAGGTAAAGTAAGTGTCATGAGTTAAGACTGTCTGCACTGCAGCACTTTATATAGTTAGACCAATGGTTGGAATGACTAAGTAGAAAAATGATGTTTCTACATAAAACAGGAGAATACGACCTAGTAGCCAGGTCAACTGCTGGTGGGCCAAATCAAATGGCTTGGTGGGCCAATTTTGGCCTGCAGGCCCCGCTTTGGTTACCTCTGGTTTAAACACTTGTGGTAACAAGCTAACGTAACATTAAAAATGCCATAGAAAAGCTAAGGCAGTTAGCATTAAACTTATCACTGGAAATTTGAACAAATCAAATGTTCAGTCACTAAGGACAGTCGTGTTGTAATTTCAACTTTTACATCAATTATTCAGGGTTCCCTACCCTTATTGCTACATCAGTATTTTGTTTTTGTTCACTTTATCCGAACGATAAATTCAGGTTTCACTAGTTGCTAAAGCAGCGCTAAAACAATAAACAAATTTTGGATCATTTCTAAAACCAAATAACTCCTCCGGTTCTCCCTTCCTCCGCAGATTCAACATGATTCTGAAAGGGCAGAAACGTAAACACCCCCACGAGGATGTGGTGGTTTTGGACCAGAGCGGCCCCCTCTGGGAGAGCCAGCGGCAGTTCGTCTTCTCCGTGTCACTGAACAAGTACCAACGGACCCAGGAGCTAGCAGAGCCCAGCCTGCGGCGCTCCGTTCTTATCGCCAACACTCTGCGACAGATCAGCCTGGACACGAGCACGGCGCCCCCTCTGGACGAGGAGGAGTCACTGCCTCCGTGCGGCTCCTCGTTAGTGCCGGAGGAGATGGAGGGAGACGGCGTCTCGGCTGGAGCCAAGCATCAGTCGGCGGTGTCGATGCACTGTGGCTGCCCTGTGGTTTCTTTAAACTGCCTTCAGATCTGCGCTGCGAGCAGATCGTGTCATGTGAGTGACTCTGATGTCCCCGCGACTGCAGCCGAGGAAGATGAGGACTGGGGATCGATGTCCACAGAATCAGATCTTTCGCTTTCAGCTGCAATTTCCTCCATTCTGACTGCACTGGACTCTACTGTGGATGGTGATCCTCAGGCAGCTCTTCGGACACCTCTCAGGTCCTTGGAGAACCTGTCTGGAGCCTGTAAAGGAGGTGTAGCGTTGGCGAGCATTAGTTGGGATCAGCAAGGAGAGAGCAAGGTGCCAGAGGGCGGCACGGAGGTGACGAGGACCCAGCACATGGACGATGTTACAATGGAGGACCTGTTTCAGGATATAGACACGTCCCAGCTGGAACGGGACATGGGTGTGCTCGGGCTCCAGAGCGGCGCTGGATTATCCAGAGCGGATGAGTTCATTCGCTACATCCCGCCTCTCTCTCAGTCCGCTTCCTCCTCGTTCTCCTTTTCTCTCAACTCCAATCTGAAGGGTCTGCCGTCGTTCTCCTCCTTCAGCCCCCTGTCGTCCACCGCATCGCCGTCCTCACCGGGGTCCGCTTCGTTCTCTGGCCCGGGTCAAGCCAGGGAAGGCCTCGAGCTGGAACAGCTGATGGAGATCTTGGTGGAGTCTTGATTGTTTCGACTGTATTAAATCAAATAAATTCTTTTCACTGTGAAAATAGTGAACTCCGTCTGAACTCATAGGGACAAGAGCTGAATTGTTACATACACTGTCAGCTTTGTGTTTTTATAGATGGTCCTCAAAAAGTAGCACATTATGGTGATTAGAAGGTAGGAAGAAATCTTAAAATGTAGAAAAAGTTGATGTCCAAGACAAGAGGTGCATTAAGATGGCAACGAGAGGCTGAATCATCTGGCAGCTTTTGATAAGAACGTCCAAGGATTTGTAAAGTAAGGACAGTATTAAAAAAAGGAGTATTTACAGATATAAAGGCTGTATATTAATGGTTATGCATAAATACACTCAAACAAGTCAAATCATTTACAAACTTGCATCTATTTTCCCTAAAAGTTTCAACATTAAGGTTTTATAGAAAGAAAGCTCAAGTTTGAGTTTTTACCCAATCACTAGTTCATTCTTTCAACTTTATATCAGATGTTGTGTAATGTGTTTTATTAAGACTTAACAGCATACATGTGACTCGTCACATCAAACCGGGTCACTAAAAGCCCGTACGATCAAATTGTACATTTGTATTTGTAAAGATAAATGCAAACTTAAACTTTGTTTTAAACGGTTCCCTCTCAGAAAATGTTCAGGTTTGTAAAATGATTGCCACCTTTTTACCTGTACACCTTTTTTTGTGTTTTCTTTTTACCACGTTTTTGTTTTGTTGCTGAACTGAAGGTCAAATCGCAGTTAAAACTGTGAGGAGTGAGCACAAAAAACTGCTTATTTTTAAAAATAAATTGTTAAGCGGTGAATCATGATGCAACGATCAGCATTTTTTCGCTGTTCAAAGTGTGACTCAGCAAACTGAAACTACCTGCATGACTCATGCAGAGAAAATGAGACGTTTCCTGCTGGTTAGACTGAAGCAGTACCAGCACCAGGACAACAGGTGGCGCCAGGTGTGTGATCATCTGTTCTGACAGGTCAAATGAATGATTGTGATGCAGGAAACAAAAACAGCTGAAACACTAATACTCCAGCTCACATCTTCTGTGAAGAAATCCTCCAGGAGCTCCCAGGAAATACTGTACTCTGAATGAGGAAAATATCCTAAAACTGTATTTTTATTAGTGTTTTTATGTCAGGTGTTTATTTAATTTGTATTCCTCGGTTTATCCAAACCATCCACATCCAGGCTGAAAAACGTTTTGCTGGAAGAGTTTCCTCTCGGTGTAATAGTTCCACAGAGCTCCAGGTTGTTTTAATTTGTTTTTTTATCGGAGTCCTGGTTTTATTATGCAGAAACTCTGCTGTTCATGTTAAAGATATTTGTTGTAAAGTCATGAAGACTGATTAATAATTAAAGTGTTCATAAATTAAAATCTGTAAACGAGTTTATAAAAGCAGCTGAAGTGACAGAAAATAGACTATTAAAGCTGGATGAAGTCCAGCAGTATTAATTTAATGTTTGCATCATTTTGTTGGGTAAAGTATGCAGATTCAAGTGTTTACATTGAGTGCATGCCTGCATTTCATACATGCATATCAGTTTATCTGGAAAACAACCACGTTTTCTGTGTTTGACTTTATACTTTACAACAGATACTTTTCAAACTTCCTGATTGGACTGTTTAGCATCGAGCTTTTAGCCACATTGGCTGATAAATCCTTCGCTCTGCACACAGTTCAGTTCTTAGATTCTGCTCCTGTCCATGTTTGTTTTTTATATACATTATTTTAATTTTTTTTGTGGTTTACATTTGAATTGTTGCACTTTTGCAAATAATATGCATTTGTAAGTGTCAGTCATGAGGATGTTTCATTGCTTTTTAAGCAGTTTAGTAAGTTTTTTAAAACATTTGTTGTTAATAATTTTATATTTACCTGTAACTTTGCCAAATATTGATGAGCATTTAACCTGTAATTGTTGACACAACCTGTTTTTTGTAAATCTCATCCTGTCCTGAAGCCTTGACTTATTTATAAAAGGCTCATGTTGTAAACAAAAGGTTTTATTTGACATAATGTAAGGAAAGAATCACTAATGGTATTAATAAATACCACCATGGCAGTTATTTTATTTACTTTGATTGAAATGTTTTGAAATGGAGAGCAGAATGCCCTCGTATTTTGCATTTTTTTTTAAAAAGTTATAATTTTTGGATGTTTTTAATAAAAACATGAATAGAAAACTGATGTTTTTGTAGAATTATTTTTGCATAACATGTTACATATGTAGGTTTACAGGTTTTAAAGGTGCATATAACTTACCGTACCGTGTTGGAAAAGCTTAACTTGTATTTATAGTGATGTCAGACAGCTGTAGGTTTTAAAGCTGCCTGAATAAAAAGGTTTAATGTTGGATTTCAAAAGTTGCAGATCAGAGATGAAGGAAAAGTCCTGAAGAAGTGGTTTACTAAAAAATGTTTCTGGATCTTTAGACATTAACAGCAAATTTCCAGCAACCATAGCTAGTAAATTACTATAAATCAGAATTTTGTTTTATGTTCTTAACAGAAACACAATTTAAAGTAAATAAACTCATATTTTATTTGGCGTTTCCTGTAAGTTCAACATTTTCTTATTCTTGTTTAAAAAAGGCATGAATTTCTACCAATACAAGTAGCAAATTCCATGTTTTGTTCAGCATTTTTTATTGCCACATATAATGTTATTTTATTTTTTAATTATCTAATTTCAGAGTTTAAACTCTCCAACCCAGTCAAGTTGTAATTCTTGTTGCAAACATTTAAAAAGACATTAAAGAAAAGAACAAAGATTAACAAGAAAACAACTTTATTTAATATATAAGATTGTCAAGTGTAAATACATACAAGTTAAATTAGTCACAAACATCCAACGTACACAACAAAGATGGTTTTTACATTAATTCATTAGCAACGACATTATTGATTTATTTTGCTGTTAAAGTGCATTTCAAGTGTTTCTGAACCCCACAGACAGCTGTGTTTTCTACTAAATTACATTACCTTTAACTTAACCCTTATGATTTTGTCATTTTTATCCTCTCTCCGTTTTTATCCACTTACAGTTTGTAGTGTTGGGCTGTGATGCACGCATCCGAACACCAGGGGGGCAGCACCACAACAAAGCTTTTCAGACTTTCAAACAGGAAATCGGATCAATGAAAAGCACGTGTTTGAAACTCTGGAGTTTAAAATGTAGTTATGTTTCCATCCTTTTATTTAAGTCGTCCAAAAGCAAATAAAGCGCTTTTAAACACGACTGAAGTGGAGTGGATTCAAACAAAACTAGTTCAGCTAAAAGAACAATACTTGTTAGTCTTACAAACCCACACTTGTTTCACAAAAAATATCATGAAAAAATACAACAAAACAAAATAAATGAAAAAAAAAAAAACTATTTTTCAAATGTTGGCCTGAACTCTGAATGTGCGATTCTACAGTTTTTTCTTACGCTGGTGCTGAAGAAGTAAACATTACTGCAGTCGAGGAGGACACTGAAACTTAAAACTGATCTCACTTTGTTTCACAGATTTTCCTTCCAGGATGTTTTCTAGAATAAAAACGATTCAGCCCACAGACCCTGGCGTTTGATGAGCAGAGGTAGAACTTCTGTTTTCTTGCCCCCTCGCCTCCCCTCAGCTCAGCTCTTGTTGATGGAGTTGTACGACGGGTAGGACTCTGAGCCCAGGGGCTTGCTGGCCTCTTTGTCTTTCGGGTAGGGAGGAGGCATCGGGTCGGAGTCCATGATGGTCTCCCGGTCCTCCTCCAGCACGGAGTCCTCGCAGCGCGGCAGCTGCAGGAAGGTGGTCAGGCCGTGCAGGTCGGCCATCTTGTGGAAGGAGCGCAGCAGGAGGTACATCATCATCAGACCCATGAACAGGTAAACTGCAGGTAGAGGGGCGGGTCACGGAGAAAAAATACAAAAATTTCAGTTCTTAAGAAGTCTTCAGTTCATCCAAAATGCTGCTGATAAGAGTTTTAATGAGAGATCATATTTCTCCAGTTTTAGCTTCTCTCCACTGGCTCCCTGTCAAATTCAGAATAAAATTTAAAATATTACTCCTAACATACAAAGCTCCATCTAATAAACTCAGGGATCACCTTATCGATCACGTGTCAAACTACAGGCCCGCGTGCCAAATGTGGCCCACCACAACATTTTGTGGCCCGCGAGAGCTACAAAAGGTGTATTCAGGTTTTAAAATAATCTGCTTTAAAGCCATAAACTACATCTCCCATCATGCACGTTGATTATTTTACTCAGAAAATGACAACATCCCACCACTAGGTGGAGCTGCACAGGGTTCAAAAGTAGCAAGAGAAATTTGAGCCTTAAACCTACATTTTTCCAGAGGTGTATAAAGTACTTGAAAAAAATGATAGTAAAAATACCTAAACAGAATAGGACTTTGGTAAAAATAAATTTTACTGATGAGAAAAGTACTTCAGTAAAAGTGATAACTGTAAATCGGGAAAGTAAAAGTACTTTTACACATTCTAAGAAATAAACTGTTGAATGTACAGAACCAAACTGGCTTCACTAAACAAAGTTGAGTAAAATATACATGTTTTATTTTAAAGAAAGTATATATATATATTGTTTAATATTTACTAAGTTTAGTGGAACCAGTTGACGTGACTTGGTTGGGTAAATTCAACATGTCATGTTTTTAGAGTGTAGAAACAACTCGTGATGAATTCAGACAGATTTAATTTTGTAACAAGTAACTAGGAGTTAAACTTTAAAGTAAAGATGTAAAAGTATAATTTTTTAGGCTTTAAATGTAACAAAATGAAAGTAAAAGTAACGATTAAAAAACTTGGTAAAATTACAAATCCTGAAAAAAATTACTTAACTACTGTAACAGAGTAAACATACTGTAGTTACTATAAACCTCTACGTTTTGCTGCATTTTCGACAGCTACTTTTGCTGCAGCCCAGTTGTACTGGGAAGTGGGAATTTCCCACTTACAAGTTTTAAATTTAAACTGGAACACCCCTCCAGTGGGAATTCCTTATTGGAAAGTGGGATAGTTCAGAATTCAAGAGCTACTACTCCCCAGAAATCTGAGTAAAACTCTTTTATTTCACATTTATGAGATTTTTTTTCTTTCTGCTGCCTTTCATTTTATTTATGATTTGCATAGTTTGTTTTTAAATGAAATTAATAAATTATTTAAACCTTAAACGTGTAGTCAGTCGTACACAGAGTACTTTTCAGTGTTTATAAGATGTTAAAAAGCTGTTTCTGTGCAGGAAACACCAGGTAGAGCTCAGTTAGTGTTAGCGAGGCTCAATGAAACGAGGAACATGACGTTTCGTGTTTATTTGAAGTTAAACTCGAAATGTCGATGTTAAATTGCAGCTGATCTATTGAGGACCACCATGATGCTCATGTGGCCCTCAGTGNCTTCAGGTCATCAATAAAACCTTAAAATCAATCCTAAAAAACAAACAGAAAAAAAACTCAATGTTTCTCTCTCCGGATGCAACAAAGCAGCTCAGAAATCTGCAGAGTTCAGAACCTGGATAACAGGGGGCTCTTCACGGAAACCCGGGTCGGATTACAGTGGCCGGTTCTGGTTCTGGGATTGTGACAGAACGAAGAGTGGGTGATGAAAGGAGGCACTATCGGGTCTTACAGCTTGAAACAGTTTCAGTCTGGATTTTAATCAACTGCTTTTAAACAGAACACTAACTTGTAACACTATACTGGTATAAATCTGTGGATGAGTTCAGGGACTTTGACTGATCAAACTCCAAACCACCTTCCTAAAATATTTACTCTTCAGCAGCGTGAGCAGGAAATGATCCTCAAACAGCACTTTATGATCTTAACTCGACCAACAAGTAATTTTAAAAAGTCAAACCTTTAAATTTAATGTAGTAAAGTCAGATTTTCACTCTAGGCATTTAAACACTTAGAGGTCAAACTCAGACAAGAGGAAAGAATTGGATGAAAAAGAAGGAAAAGTAACATTTAAATTTTAAGTTGAAGTTTTAGTGTTAAATTACGGTAAAGTTTAGAAATTTTCAGTCTAATCTAGTTGTGATCAATTTCATGTCTTAAAATATAAAATTAGAAACACAAAACAGACATTCCAGTGTGTAGAAAATACTGGTTAATCATGTTTATGGGATAAAATCATGTAAAATATGTGAATGCTGACTCGGCATTAAACAGTTTTGTGGCGTCGCTGTAACCTGACTGAGTGAACTGAGAGAAAACGCAGATAAAGTTTAATTTCCGAGGGTCCGACCCCCTCGACCCTGACGGGCTGCTGAGAAAATGAAACGCTTCGAGGTGATACTTCTCACATGTGAGGTGAGAACCAGGCTGCTCTGCAGATTCACCACCTCTCAGCTCTCTCAACACAAAGTCCTGAATCGTCTCTGACTGGGCTGAGAGAGAAACAAACTGTTCCAGATAAATTCAGCTGAACCTGCTCACCTCGTCAGCTCTGTCCAGGACCAGACTGAGCATTTATTTTGTTTTTTTTTTGTACAGAAACTCAAGTCCAACCTGTTCAGAGAGCGAAGGATAAACACTTCTTTGCCAGACTTGAGCTCAGTAAACAGCTCTGATGAGCTTTCAGTTCCTTAAATAAGGCGACGCCTCTTTATCAAACATCTGCTGTAGATTAAACAAGCTTCACATCTAAAAAAGGGCTGTAGAGCAGGGGCGGAGCCAGAGGGGTGCCCGGGGTGGCAAGCGCCTCCTCTAGCACCTGATTGGCCACCCCAGGTGCCACTCAAATAAATGATAAGTGGGTGGAGAGCATAGATTTTGTTAAAAATTGATCTGGTACTGCTGTACTCCAGAGTTTTATAGTAACTAAGTACATTTACCTCGTTATAGTACTTAAGTAGTTTTTTGAGGATTTGTAATTCTACTAATTATTTTTTAAATAGCTACTTTTACTTTTATTTTGTTATGTTTTAAAGCTAAAAATTATCCTTTTACTTCTTTACTTTAAAATGTAGCACTTGTTACAAAATTTAATATGTTTGAACTCGTCACGAAAGATGCTTCTATACTAAAAAACAAAGTGTTGACTTTACTCAGTCATGTCGGCTGGCTCCACTAAGCCTACTTGAGTAAATTGAGCAAATAAAATACAAATATTGCTCAATTCACTCAACCTGGCTTCGTGGAACCAGTTTGGTTCAGTAAATTCAACAGTTTCTCTCTTAGTGTTTAAAAGTACTTTTACTTTCCCAATTTTTAAGAAATGTTTTATGACTTTTACTTGAGTAGTTTTCTCAGTGAAATTTATTTTTACCAGTTATTTTTTCAAATACTTTATAGACCTCTGCTGTACTCTAGAAATTTTAAGCTGTGTACGTTTAAAAACGGCTGAAAATGGCCTTTCATAAAATTAGCATTAGCAATTAGCTTATTGGGATTAGCATGTGATCATTCTTAGCTACTCCACAATGAACGACATCTCATTAAGTCTTAAAATGGCTGAATTATAGCCTCTAAAAGTTCGCTGTGACGGCCATCATGAAGTTTTAGCAGTTAGAATTTGTTAACGATTGTTTTCGGCTACTTCTACACTATTTTTGCAGCTTCGTTTGTCTGAAAATGGCTGAATAAGAAGTAGTGATTAGCTTTCAGCATGTTTTTTGAATAATTTTCAATCAATTTCAACTCAATATTTCTCTAATTTTCAACTCTATATTTATCGAGAATGATAAAGGTTAATTTACTGGAGAAATAGGCACATGTATGAATTGTTGTTCAAGGATTTAAACTTATTATTATTTTTTCTTTTTTGTAAACTGTAGATCAATTTTGATTGAAAAAAAATTGGAGAAAAAGGGGCAGATATAAGAATTTTTCTTCTGCTGCTTTTCATTTAAATTGGGATTTGTATTTTTTTTGTTTGTTTGTTGTTGAATTTATGTTGTTTTTAAAGAAATGAATGAAATGAATAAACTAAACTAAATAGTTGAATTAAAGCTGTTTGGAATTAGCTGTGACGGCCATCTTGAAACACGTTGGCCACCGCTTGCAAAAAGTCTAGCTCCGCCCGTGCTGTGGGGTCTCACAAACTAATCTGACTAAAACAAACAAACCATTTTCCCTGATAATATCTCTTAAGATTAGGAAATACAGTGTGAGAGCTGGACGACTGCTGAAATCAAGACCAAACAAGTGAATAATGATGCAACTGTTCATATAAGAGGCTGGTTTCTCTCCCCTGCTGTCGGTGAGAAGACCTCCCGTGGACAGACTCACCCATCACGGCGACCTGGTACAGCGCTCGGTACTTCTGACCCGGCTGAGCGGCCGGAACGAAGTCCCCCAGCCCGATGGTGCACAGGGAGATGAAGCAGAAGTAGATGCCGTCCAGGAAGGTCCAGGACGCCTCCAGCAGGCTGAACACGGCCGCCGGCGCCAAGAAGAAGCAGAGCACCACCAGCACCAGCAGCAGCAGGAAGTGCACCACGGTGGCGGGGCGGGGCTTCAGGCCGCAGCGCTGCAGGAGGCCCACCGGAGCGAGGACCAGGGGGTGCATGACCCGCTGCACGCAGGCGGTCAGCACCAGCATGGTGAAGGGAACACCGATCAGGGCATAGATGATGGAGAAGACTTTCCCCGCGTCAGACAGAGGCGCGGGGTGACCATAACCTGAGGACACACACTGTTTATTACTTCCTTTAACTCTCTACACTAAACACACGAACCATAAAACATGTTGACATTTAAAAGAACAAAGTCAAACAAACCTACGGGACTTTTAGGAGCTTCAGCAGAACTTAGACTGGTTTAATAATTCTGGTAACAGTCAACAAAAATGGCTACAACTTAGCTAATTTTACAGATTATTGAGCTAAAACTTAGCGTGGCAGTAGGGCGGGGCAATAAAACAATAACACACAGCGTGATACACATGTGATCAATAAATAGAAAATATATCCAAAAGTCTGTTGTTTTCAATATTAAAATGGTGCCACATTTGTAAGGAACATGTCTTTGTGGGATGAGCAGCAGAGCTGCTAGATGTTGACTGATGTATCAGCTGACCAATATTTGTTTTTGTTTTGGCATCAGTGGATACATGTCAGCGTTCGTCAATACAATAAAAACAAATAATATTAAAACTGTTTTTATTGTTATATATGTAAAAGTTCTAATTGCTATCCATTGTTAAAATGTTTTGTTTAGGTTATTTCTTTTGTTTAAAATTGAGACTTGTGCAACATTTGTAATTGTGTCATTTTTATCATGCAAATGGAATAAAAACCAATAATCAGCTGCAAGAATCGGCCTCCAAAAAATTTTCTAATCAAATAAATAAATTGGCAGCACATATCAGGGATTGGTTAGACCAGGGGTCTGCAACCTGCGGCTCTGGGGCCACATGTGGCTCTGTGGTCCCTCAGCAGTGGCTCTTCGAAAATGTGGCCAAACATAACAGAAAAAGTTTTGTTTGTGTGTGTTTTTTATACCCACAACAAAAATCAATTTGTATGCAAATATGTGATCAATACTAAGTAAAACATGCTAGCCTGTTATGTACTGAAGTGATCCAACTTCTTTCTATGATCTTTCTCTCAAATCCATCAGAATTACCTTTTAAGAATTTGAACACTACAAAATAATACGAATTAGAAAAAAATATGTCTGGATAGTTTAGTTGTATAGTTTTTCTGAAATTCGTTATAAACTATATACAGTATTTTTCTTGTTTACATGAATATGGTCTTTCCATTCGTCCTAATGTGTAAAAATAATAGTAAATGATAAAAATTCACAGTATCTTTTTTTTTAGTTTTATAATGTCACCTCCACTGGCCGTAAAGGTTCCAGAAAAGGCCTCAAAAAGGCCCACGGACCACCAGTTGATAATTGCAGTTGTAGCTTGTTTTTCGGCTCTGGACACATTTTATTAGTGAGCCAAGGAGCAGAAATGTCTCTTGATTATAAAGGTTGCAGACCTCTGGGTTAGACTGATAAAATTATCAAAAATAATCTGTATTGGCCTTAAAAATCTGTATTGTTCGATCCCTTAGCACCTGTCCTGGTTCTGGTTCTGCTGGAGGTTCCTTCCTGTTAAAAAGGAGTCTTTCCTCTCCACTGTCACCACTGTGCTGCTCAGGATGGAGACTGATGAAGTGATTCAATGCAGGTTCCTACAGTGCCCTGAGACAATGTCGGGACTTGGCGCTATATAAATCAGGGGTGCCCAAACATTTTCCCCGAGGGGGCCAAAATGAAAATCTATCCATGGCTGCGGGCCAAATGCAGTTATATAATACATGAAATACAAATACTTCAAGTAAAGTCATTTATTTTTGAACAATTAAGCTGTGTAATGGCCCTCTTTTGTTTTAGTCTGTGCACTTGGAGAAAGTCTGCCATACGCTCAAGTAGCAAAGGCTCATGGGACATATAAATAGATGAAATATGAGTTTTTGTGGCTTTATAAAGCGCGCAAATCTACATGTGGGGTTAAAACTGATCTAAATACTTCTTGTTGTCATTTCATGTTTCATGTTTAATCCTAATAAATCAAAGATTTGTCAGCACCATGACTGAAAACTACCTTCACCACAGCCCTTTTATRTAGTCATTTGACCAATAGAAATACTGTGTTTCTACCTATAGGATGACAGGTTACAACCTAGTAATTTTGGTAACTATTGGTGGGCCAATTCAAATGGCTTGGCGGGCCAAATCTGGCCCGCGGGCCCCACTTTGGGCTCCTCTGATATAAATAAAACGAATTGAATTGAAATAAACACTAATTTCCTTACTTTTTATGCAATTGGATGTAAACCAAGCAGCTGTTGGTTTTAATCTAAGACTTTAGGTATTTTAGGGACATTTTCACGAGTTGAGGTAATGAGTTTCACTGCGACTCGACCACCCCGAGGGTCACCGAGGGTCTCGCCACCTGTGCTGTTTTTCCAAACAAGAGATGTTTTGATCTTCGTCGAGGTGGTTAAACGTCAGCTGCTTATTTATCCAAAAGGTCAAACCTTTAGAGTTTTTACAAAGGTCACAGTCAAACACATGCGTGTAAATTGCTTCCATCAGTCTGAACATCTGTCCCCTCGGTGTTAAACGTGGAACAGAACGTGTCCACCAGGCTGCTGGGAACAAACATCAACAACGCCACGTGTTCAGAGTTTAATATTAAGCCTTACAGTCGGCCGTCACAACTCCCAGCAGACAAAAAACATTTTAGTTTCCTGAATTTATTCCTGAGATCTAAGATTAGAAATCATTTCAGCAATATTTAAATCAGTGTGTGATTAGGGTGCATGCTCAGTAGTGAAAACAGGAGTTTGGTTTCACTTCCAGACGAGCGTCAGAAACCGTGAAGCTGTGGTTTGTTTTCGTTCGGTCATCTGACCGCTGGAACATGCAGCTCAGCAGCGTCAGAAAGCATCAGCCACCGGAACGAATGCAGAACTGTAAAAAAAATCATGCAGCGCATAAAGCAAAATAAAGTTCCTCTGAACACAAAGGCCTCTGTTGTTCCGCTTCGTGCATGAATCATCATTTTCTGTCTGCAGAGTTTATGTAAATATGACACAACCGCTGCAAAGATAGGATGCTAATAAAGGAACATTACGTGCAGTTAACCGTCATAATGAATAACTCTTCAGTGCATTTATTCATTTGTCATCTTTAAACACCAAATTATAACAAAACACAAAGTTCACTCCAACGTTCTGAAAACAGCTTTTTGTTTTTTATGTGGAATAAACTAAAGCATGTGACAGGCTCGTGTTTAACACTTACACACACTTTAAACATGTTCAAGATATGATTCAAGGCAGCTTCTTTCATTATTTACTGAACTGTTGTTGCCAGATAAACATGTGAAAATAAAAAGCATTTTAACTTTATTTTATATGATTTCAATTCAATTTAAAAGATATCTTGAAAAACACCAAATACACCTGCGTTCACTTTGTATAAATAATTCAAACACTGGGCGTCTTCCTTTCTGATGCTGATGAAAATAACCTTGTAACTTGTACGCAGCTCTCCGAGTGCCACAATATCCTGTTTGAACAGGAAGTACTTTAATATGGAGGACAGACGTTCTACTTAAGATTGAAGTTAAAAGAAGTCATTGGTGGTCATAATCATAATCAACCAAAACTAAACCTCCAGAGTTTATGGTGCAATTTAGTCACAATATTCTCTGGTTGTTAATTAAAATATTTATAGGTTTTTTTTTTTTTACAATTTTACATCAAGATGTAAAGTTCACACTGAAAAACTGAAAAAACTAATTAATTTAATGTTGCACTGATGAAAATTAGGATATTATATTTTAAAAAGCCGCTGTTGGACTTCAGAGAGCAGGAATGGGCCAGAGGAAGAGTTGTAAATCAACCTGTGAGATCAGAGCTTTGCTGATACCTCATCATGATGAAGATTACTGAGGATGAGGAGTAACTATTGGGCTGATTAACCAATTCAAAATGGCCGCCACAGCAAAACACAAAAATGGCTGTAATTTGGTCAATTCTACAGACGCGGAGCTAAAATCTCGTGTCTCAGAAGCCAAGAATCGTCCCCAACATTTAATCTGAGCTTCGTTCGGATCGTTGACCGACTTCTTCAACTTCTTATTCAAACTTGTTTCAAATCCCCCCAAAAATTGACTGAAATGTCCTGAAACTTTACTCTAAAACAGATTTTTAAAGAAGTTGAAATGATTCAGACATAAACACATTGGCAGTATTCTTTAAATAATCTTAAAAAATAGATTTTAATTATTATTATAGCTGTGCTGATCTGGTTTTCAGTTTCTGCACCACCGTCTGCTCAGCTCAGACATGTTCTCTTTTTAATAAAGCCGAGCCGCTCTCATGGAAATTATTTCCTAAAATTAGAAACAGTTTCTCAGCGATGCAAAGTGCACCAAACTCTGATGCTTATCACAGGAAGTAAAGCAGCTTCCTCTAATATCTGGGTCATTCTGCAGGACTTTTATTGTTAAAGCAGTGAAATGTCTGAACACCACCTGCAGCAGCAGTTTGTGGTGAAACATCGGGGTTAAAACTGAGATCAACTGAGTGGTCTTTAGATGAGCTCCGAAATCTAAATAAATGTTAAAATACCTGCTGAAACATTTTCTGTCATTGCTGTAACAATGGTTCTAATTTAGCCAATCATAAATCAACACATTCAGCAGGTTGGAGCCATGATGTTTGTTTTTTTATAGATTTATTCTGAGGTGGGTAGAATTCCCAAAAGTTGTACTAAAGTTGTAAGAGTAGCGACACTTCAACATATTTTTACTCACAGTTAAAATAGCCATCCAAGTGATGACTCAAGTGTGTGTAAAAAGTATTTGGTAAAAAGTCTACTCAACTAAATCATTTAATATTTTAAAATTACATCGTCAGATGAACCAAAATACAAAGCTAGGTGGAAACTTGAAAATTAAAGTTAAAATAATTCATAGAAATAACATGAAATAAATTCAGGCAAAATATTTTTCCTCAAATCAGCTTCTTTCAATATAAAATGTAAGAAACTAACAAACTGCAGGTGTGTGTGTTTTCTCAAGCGCCTTTGTTCAGATTTTCAAAATAAGAGTTCTCTAAGGGGAAATGAAAAAATGAAAAACAGCTTTAACGCACCAGCGGGTCTGCCTCGTGATTAGGGTATTTTTATATGTAAATTTTCTAAAAAGCAGAACTGTTTAGTTCTGTCCTCACAGCTGTAGTTTTTCTCTCTTTTTTACAGCTTGATGTAGTGGAAAAAACGTCAAATATCAACTGCATAAAGAAAAAAAACATCAAATATCAACTGCATAAAGAAAAAAAACATCAAATATCAACTGCATAAAGAAAAAAAACATCAAATATCAACTGCATAAAGAAAAAAACATCAAATATCAACTGCATAAAGAAAAAAAAACATCATTCATGGAGACTTTTACTTGTTGGGGCTTTGCGTCATGCGTAAAAGCCGCCGGCACCGGGTGAGGCTGTGTTTGTTTGTTGGACTCACCCACGGTGGTGACCAGAGTGTTGGCGAAGAACATGGAGGACGCCAGGTCCCAGTTGGACTTCTCTGAGGTGTTCCTGAGGACGGAGACGCCGTGCTTGTTGGCCGACAGCACTTGGTTCAGGAAGCGCTCCAGGGACGCGGCGGTGACGCAGCTGCGGTTCAGGAACTCGTCTTTCAGGGTCTCCATGTCCCGCCGCAGCTTGTCCTCCGCCGGCCGCTCGATGCTGGAGAACACCAGCGCGCCGAACAGCAGGTAGATGACGTAGAAGAGCACGAAGCCGGTGAGCAGCAGCCACGACTTCCCTGCGGAATGCATGGCGCGTGTGAGGCGCGCAGCTGCTGGTGCCGACTCTTTCAGCTGCTCTGTGGGTGTGAGGGTGGGAGCCGGATCAGGGGCTGTCCTAACCGAGCCACATCAGAACACCTCCCCCTCACTAACAACAGGAAGGTGGGTCCAATAGGTGCATCCTGGCTGGATTCAGCCAGAAGTCTCAGTGGACTTCAGTACAGGCTCATTGTTGTTTTAGCTGTTTATCACAACATTCAGCTCATTCAGGAGATAACTAACTGCTGAGACTTATTTTTATCTTTTAAACTTTTATAAAAGTTTAATTTGAAATATTTTCCCAAAGATATACATTGAGTTTTTTTTCTTAAGAATAATGTTTGAAGTCAGCCTCAGTAAACTGACCCTGTTTTGGATTCATTTTTAGCTGTTATTCTAGCTAAACCCAGTGTTGTATAAAGTACCACAAAGTGATACTTGAGTAAAAGTACAAGTATCTTATACCAAAAAATTACTTTGGTAAATGTTAAAGTCTCCTTTAGGAAAATTACTTAAGTAAAAGTATTAAAGTATCTGATATTTTTGTACTTAAGTATTAAAGTAAAAGT